AAAAAAAAAAAATTATTGAAGATGGATTTGCAGGGTTTAAACATTTTTCACATATTTGTGACATTTGACACATTGCAAAATTACTCTCCAGAAAAGTTCTGCCAGTTTACCCTCCCATCAGCAGTGGCCAAGATTGCTAGTTTCTGTTGCATCTTGGCCTTTATTGGCTTGATTAAAAAAATATACATACACGCATGCGCACACACACACACACGTATATTGTTTTTGCCTGTTTGATAATTAACGGTATACCACATTTGCTTCATCTATTTCTCTTTTTGGTTGTAGTATTTCAAAGTAAATTAGAGATGTTCCAGCGTTATATTTTAGATTCTTCAGCCTGCCTCTCGTAAAACACGAGGATATTTTCCTTCTTTGTTATTCTATCGTGTTACATACGTGAACCCATTTATCGTAGACTAGTAGTGTTTGAAGAGGTGGAGCTTCTACTGCTCTTTCAGCACCTTCAGGCTTCTGACGACCGACTCTGCTGTGACGGTGGAAGCCCTCTTGCAGGTCACCGGCTTCCGTTTTCATGTACGAACCACAGTGCCAGATCCCCACAGCTCATCTTTTCATCTTGGTTTTGCCACAGCACTCGGCGTGCTGGCTTATTTCAATCTTCTTCACCCTTTTCCTGTGGGAGGCACCATCACAGGTCCTCCATTTACCGAGGATTCTGACCTTCTTGGTGCGTTTAGCCGTGACTCTGCAAATTAGGGCTGAGCCCAGAGAGGAAACAGAAAGGATATTTTTGTCTGTGATTACCATACTATTATCACACCTTGCAATGTTGACATGAATTCCTTATGATCGATCACCTGATGCGCAGTACCTGTTCAATTTCACCTGTTTATCTCTAAGTGTCATTTTCTTTTTTCTTTTCTGTTTTTTTTAATGTTTTTATTTTATTTTTGAGAGAGAGGGACAGAATGCTAGTGGGGGAGGGTTAGAGAGAGAGGGAGACACAGAATCTGAAGCGGGCTCTGGGCTCTGAGCTGTCAGCACAGAGCCTGACATGGGGCTCAAACCCACAGATCGTGAGATCATGACCTGAGCCAAAGTCAGAAATTCAACCGACTGAGCCACCCAGACGCCCCTCTAAGTGTCATTTTCAAGTTGGTTTGCTTGAACCTGAATTCGGACAAGGTCTCCTCATTGAATTTCTTGTTATGTCTCTGAAGTTCCCCTGATATCACTCTACCTATATGATTCTGTGATTTATTGAAGGGGATTGAATATCTTTAGAGTGTGTTTATTGCCTTAGTAACGTCCTTTGTTCATTTTTATATCAAAGGGTGCATTTTTGTCTTTTAGTTTTGAAGGTGTTTTATATGTTAAGGCTGTTACTCTTTGTCTTATAATTTGTAAATATCTTTCCAGTTTTTCATTTGCATTTTAGTTTTGTAGATTTTTTTTTCCCTATTTTCCAAAGAGATGTTTTAAACTTGTAGTTGAATCTGTCACCCTTTGTATTTGTAGCCTTTTCCTTTATGAAAGGCTTTCTCCCATTCTGAGATCAGGTAAATAGTCACCTCTAGTTTTTACTAGTTCATTGTGATTTGTTTTTTACATTTAATTCTTTAAGTGATTTTATTTTTGTGTGCAGTGTGAATAGGGATCTAATTTTATTTTACTTTTTGAGTGTTTATTTTTGAGAGAAACAGATATTGTGAGTGGGGGAGGGGCAGAGAGAGAGAGGGGGAGAGAGAGAGAAGACAAG